GATAAATTGTTGGAGAAGGCAACCTGGAGGTGAGACCACTCTGGGGTCTCAACTCCACCCCTAATTATTAGCCTCTTGTCCTGCAATGCACAGGTTTCCTGACTTACATACCCAGCCATAGAGGCAAAAGATAAAATGACAGGCCAGACCTACCTGTAGAAACAGACATTGGGGCCAATTACAGCAAAGAAGTAACAGGGAAGGAGCAGAGAGGCCAAGGACCCACTCATCCAGCACGGGGCCACAAGCAGCCTCAGAAGCCCAAAGAGCTCACCTAAAGGGAGCATGAGGTCCAGAGGCCATCTGCTTCCACCAGTCAAATTGGCTCCTTCTCTTCCTCTTTGGGATGAGATAAAATTAAAAGGTATTGAAAATCCAATCCACAGCTGAAAATGGGAAATAAGAAGTAAGTTGGAAGTCCTCTTATTTATGGAACTATGAAGAGGGATAGACATAGGTTTTTCTTTTATAAATATCTGTCCACAAAAGAAATTTAAGGTGATGGAAGAAGCCAACATCCCCTAACCTCCTCTCTCCAGAAACACGTTTGTCATGGATTCTGTGATACACCTCCTGACCTCCTTCAGAACCAAGGAATTTATTCCTGCCACTCATAACTAAGTTAGATTCTTCCCAGAAATTGTCCTAGGTTGCCACACTTACTCTGGGGACAGTTCACATTAGATGACTAAAGGAAAGGGGGTTGCAAAGGCTTGATCCTTCTACCTCAATCCAGAACAATTCTGAAGGGCTAAACCAGCTCCAGACCACCTACATTGTGTCAATCGCTCCTGCTGCCCAAACCTGCTTTCTTCATGTTTCCCCAAACTCCATGCTTACAAAGCACCATCCCAGAGTCTATTTCCCAGGAGGTCCTAAGACAACATGTGTTAAACCCCAATTGGCTGTGTCCTCCTTAACCCATTGCCATATTGCCTAAGAGAGAGCCAATATCTCACCAAAGCATTTTCCTAGATTTGATTCTTGAAGTTGAGACAAATCATATTCATATAAATGATTGCTGGTGCTCATGAAAGTATGGTGGATCTTTTCCTGAAAACTACTCAAGATAGATAGCTGTGCACAGTGGCATGTGCCTGTAGTCCCAGCTATTCAGGAGGCTGAGGCAGGAGGATTGCTTGAGACCAGGAGTTCAAGGCAACGTAGACCCTATTAAACCAAAAGCAAAACCAAAACTACTCCGAAAAATTAAGGTTAAAATTAAAAGAAGGCAATACAAATAGCTAAAGTAAAGTAATATTCGGAAAGTGGTTGATATCTCCCCATTCTGTTCCATATAAAGCATTGGACCCTGTGCGCATGTGGCTTCATTTGCTCCTGTCCCATTGACCTTCAGCTTGCTCAGGACAGACCGCTGGCAGATGCTATGTTTAGGTAGCTCCTGCTACATCTGGCTTTCTCAGAAACCCCCTCCCCATCACAAAAGGGCAAGGTTGTGGTGTTGGCGGCCACCATACCCATTGCAGTGAAGCTGTACTGGAGCAGCTCCCAGGCCTGGGACTGATTGGTAAGACATGTCAGCTTTTCTTCTATCACCAGGTGATGACTCAAATCCTCCTTCCCCAGTAGTTGCCCTGAGGAGCCAGGTGATGCCTCCTAGAAATTTAGTCAAGTGAATTCTTTCCAGGGTGAAGTCTAAACAATGGGAGACACGGGATGGAAGGGAGGTGATGTTTTAGCCTCAGTTTCTCTCTGGCCCCTTCTGTTCCCAACAATGGGCTGTTCTACACAGCAGAGGCTCCCTCAGACCTCTGCAACCAGTCACAGTTTCTAGTGGTGCTGGGTACAGTATGACATTTACCTTTTACATTTTTTTTTTTCCTTTTACTCTCTTTCCTACTGTCCTGGCTTATGACTCCAGAAAGAAAACATTGGCATGGAAGCTTTTCTTCAAGAAATGTCCCCTAGATAACCCAGGTGAGGACACAGACATTAACTTATTTGATTGGTATTCACAAAACATCATATTACTGGGTGAGTGTGTGTGTTTGGGGGGGGGGTGGGTAGAAGCAATAATTATTACTGTAATTTTATAATTAATTCAACCAGAGGAAAAATAAACTGCCCAAGGCCAAAGCTGCATAGTTAAGTGGTAGATCAGGCTCAGTCCGTGTGTTCTGCTCTAAATTGTATATTTTCCTTACCCTTCAATGTATGTGTCCATAGAGAGGTAACAGCAAGAACTAGTTAACTCTTTTCCTGTAAAGGTAGCATTTGGGGGTGAGGGTGGCGCACAGTAATTACTAGAAAGGAAACTGAAAAAGCTCCTGAAAAGAGGAAGAGGAATTGAGATGACAGCGCCATTGACACTTCTGGAGCCCTCTTTTCCCCCAATTCACTTTCCATACGTTCACAAACATGTGCTTTGAGTATTGGTGAAAGTAAAGAGAATGCCATCATATGCCGTGGTTTCCGAGGTCAGCCATAACAAATCACGACAAACAGGGTAGCTTAAAACAACAAAGATATGTTTTCTCATAGTTCTGGAGGCTAGAAGTCTTACATCAGGTGTGGGTGGCCATGCTTCCCCCGGAAGCTCTAGGGGAGGCTCTCTTCCTTGCTTTTCCCAGCTTTTGGTGGTTGTGGGCGACCCTTGATTGACTGGCCGCCTCTGTATGTGAAGACTTTGCATGGCCCCCTTCTCTGGGGGCATTATCTCTCCTTGTTTTTCTCCCGTAGGAATACTTGTAATGGTGTTAGGGCCTCCTCATTTCATTTAGGGAGGCCTCTCTATATCAAGATGCATAGCTTAATTACAGCTACACAAGTCCTTTTTCCAAAAAGGTAACATAAAAATTCCAGGCACTGAGACTGGGTATATTTGGGTGGCTATTATTCAACCTACTACACTATAATAAAGGCCATGCCTGGAGATGTTATTGTGTCCTTCAGCATGCTTAAGAGTGTTCCTTGATGTTAGATCATTTGTCTTACTCCCTGGTGAAGAGGAGGAGCGGCCTGCGTGCTGAGGCAGCTGAAGCTAACTTTCTGCTTAAGCAGCCATGAGCTAACAGGGCACCTGAGCAGAACTGACCCTGCCTTATCCTCCAGCCCTAAGCAGAGAGAGGGTCTCTCTCATTGTTGTCTTAGCCGGTGACATGATTCCCTTACTTCTGGGGCCACAGAGGATCCCAGGCTGACTGCTCTTGACAATCACCCTGATCTAGGATTTATATTTTGCAAAACTATCTCATGGCAAGTTTTAGAGGAAAGAATCCTCCTAATCACAAATATTTGCAGTACTTGACCTGGTTGCACTTTGGCCAATGATGTTGAAAACAGTCACGTGCAGCACTGAGGTCCCCTGTTGTCAGGCCTGTTTGAACAGTTCACCGGCAGTACTGTCTTCTAGGCCTCTTGTGGAGATTACTGAGGTGCTGAAAGAGAAAAGAGAACAAGATGTGCCTGAGGGCCAGACGCCATGCAAAGAAAGTCTTAGCAAATACCAGCTTCCTTCTTTTATTTATTCTTAGGCTGCTGCTTCTGCATTTCCTCAGGGGCTACACTTATTTATATTAATTATCATCTTTCCCTCAAATTCCCCACCCAATTCCCAACCTCTTGCTTCCAGCAGTTAATATCACTTCTAACTTCTCGAGGATTGAGGCCCTTTATAAAATCCACTCAGTCCAGGCCTCACCCCACTCCTGCTCCCTTCCTGAATACCCACCACCCTTTTCCCTCTTTCTTGGCTTATTCAGAGCTAAGACGTTGTTGGCTTGGAGGTTAGTCCTTCTCATGTCCTTATCAGTCATTTACCTCCCCCACTTTTCATAGTAGTTCTATTGAGATATCATTGACTGGCATAAAACTCATCCCTTGAGATGTAAAATAGGATTTTAAATATATCAGTAATGTTTGCTTTGATTACCACTATAGAATGGAGTATTTTCATCATAACAAAAAGAAGCCCCCACACTCTTTCCTTCTCCTTTCCCACCTTCACCACCTGCTTTACAACAACCATTTATCTACCTTCTATCTCTGTGGTTTTTCATATTCTGAACATTTCTTACAAAAGGACTCATATAATAAGAGGTCTTTGTGGCTGGCTTCTTTCACTTAGCATGGTGTTTTCAAGGTTTATTTGTATTGTAGCGTATCTTCTATTTTCTTGGATATATATGGATATATATGTAGGATTGGAATTGCTGGGTTATATGGAAATTGTATTTACCATTTTGAAAAACCATCAAACTGTTTCCCCAAGTGTTTTCATTTTATGGACCTACTGGCAATGCATGGGGGGGGGGTCCTAATTTCTCTACATTCTCACCAATATTTGTTATTACCAGTATTTTTTCATTGTACCCATTCTAGTGGGTTTGAGATGATATAACATTGTGTTTCTGATTTGCATTTTCCTGATGACCAATGATGCTGAACATCTTTTTTATATGATTATTAGCTATCTGTATGTCTTTTTTAGAGAAATACCTATTCAGATGCTTTGCCCATTTAAAAATTGGTTCATTTGTCTTTTTTATTATTGAGTTGTATTTTTAAAAATATATATTCTGGATACTAGGGCCTTACCAGATTTATAATTTGCAAATGTTTTCTCCTAGTCTATGGATTGTCTTTTTCACTTTCACAATTATTATTTTAGTTTACTTTATTTTCACTTCAATTTTCTTGTGCTTCTAAAAGCACAGAGGTGTTTCAGTTTTGATAAAGTTCAATTTACTTATTTGCTTTCTTGTTGCTTATGATTTTGGGATCCTGTCAAGAAAACCAAAGCCTAATCTGAGATCATGAAGATCACTCTGTTTTCCTCCTAGGGTATTGCTCTTAAATTTAGGCTTGCAATCCATTTTGAGATGATTTTTGTATATGATATCAATAAGGAGTTCAAATTTATTTCTTCATATGTGGATATCAAGTTGTCCCTGTGTCAACTGTTGAAAAAATCTATTTTTTTTCCTGTTGTGTTGTCCTGACATCCTGGTCAAAAGTCCACTGGCCATAAGTGCAGAGATTTATTTCTGGATTTTCAATTTTACTCCATTGATCTATTTGTCTGTTTATGCCAGTACATACAGTCTTGATCACTGTGACTTTGAAGTAAGTTTTAAGGTCAGTACATTGCGAGTCCTCCAACTTTGTTTTTTTCAAGATAGTTTTGCTTATTCTGGGCCCCTTGAATTTCATATGAATTTTATGATCAAATGCCAATTTCTGTGAAAAAGCTGACTGAGATTTGGAGATTGAAAGGGACCTATTCATCAGTTTGGGAATATTACCATTTTCATACTTAGTCTTTCAACCTATGCTCGTGGAATCTCTGTCCATTTCTTTGATTTCTTTTAACAATGTTTGTAGATTTCTGTGTATAAGTCTTGTACTTCTTTTTAAAAAGAATTTTTAAATTCTTTTAAAATATTAATATTTAATTATATTTAAATATTCCTAAGTATTTTACTCTTCTTGATGTTATCATAAATTAAATTCTTTTCTTAATTATATTTTGGATTGTTCATTATTGGTATATAAAAATACAACTGATTTTTATGTTGATTTTTTTAGCCTTGCAAACTTGCTGAATTTATTATTAATCCTAATAGGTTTTTGGTGAATTATTTAGGATAGTTTCTATATACAAGATCATGCCATCTATAAGTAGAGACACAGATGACATGATCTTTTCATGCCTTTTATTAGGGTGAGGAGGTTCTCTTCTATTCATGGCTTTTTGAATGTTTTTATTTTTGGATTTTTAAAATCATGAAATAAAGTTGAATTTTGTAAAAATCTTTTCTGTCTATATTAAAACGATCACTTTCCCTTTATTCTATTAACATGATTTTCAAATGTTGAAAAACCACTCTGCAACCCTGGAACAAATTCCACTTGGTCTTGATGTATAATATTTTTGGGGGGTGAGATGCTGAGATTGAAATCAGGGGCACTCCACCACTGAGCCACATCCTCAGCCCTATTTTGTATTTTATTTAGAGACAGGGTCTCACTGGGTTGCTTAGTACCTTGCTTTTGCTAAGGCTGGCTCAGCCTCCCAAGGGATTACAGGCATGTGCTACCACACCAGGATGATGTATGATCTTTTCTGTATGTTTTTGAAGCCCCCATTTTCTTGACTAATTTATTTTCTTTAGCTTGTAATCATGCTTTCTTTCATAGTACCAGAGAAACAACTTGGACTAAGCAACTTCTCTTTCTTCTTCCATTTGTATTTAAGCTTTGGAAAGGTTTGCCCTCTTTTTACCCTAATATCAATTAATCACTTAACAAATGGAAGCTGCTTTGGCTGATATCTGAAGGATTTTCCAACTATCAAAGTCCATGGACACTTTTTAGCCCTTTCTTTATTGGCTTTTTGTAGCATTCTCATTTACCACTTCCTTCCTCTTGGAAACACCCAAATCTCTAGTTTTCTTTATATCTTTTTTTTTTATTATAGTTTACTGTTCCCCTTTAAGGATATTTTTTCTCTTACTGTCAAATACTGGTGTCCTTGTAAGATTCTATCTTTGGTGGACTTCTCTTATTCTATGCAGTCTGGGAAATGTCACGGTCTCTTATAGTTTTTACTACCACCTGTATGCTGAGGAGTACTAATCTGTTGCCTTTCACCATATCCAACCAGGTATATCCAACTCCCTCCTGGCCCTCACTACTTGAAAATCCCATAGGCTTCTCAAATACAAGATGTCAAAACAAAACTTTGAAGTTCCTTATCCTGACAAGTTGGTTCTTCCTCCAGCTTGATGCAAATCTTTGAAACTTAGAAAAATGTAAACAGCTTCCTAGATGAGGTGAGAATTGCCTCACCTTATTAAGAAAGTTTGGCAGTTCTGTATTTTCATTGAAATAAGATGCAGGGTAGCAGAAAATGATAACTCATTTTACCTCACCGGCTGAGAGATTTTTATTCTTCAGGAAGAGATAAGACTGGACATAGCTGAATATATTCCAAGGCAGGTTAAGGAAAGTATAACAAAAGAAAGAGAGAAAGAAGTGGGTGGAGAGAGAGAAAAAAAGAAGAAGAGAGGAAGAGGAAGAAGGAGAAGGAGAAGGAGAAGAGGAGGGGGGAGGAGGAGGGGAGAGGGAGGGGAGGGGAGGGGGAGGGGAGGGGGGAGGGGGAGGGGGAGGAGGGGCACATTAAAATTCAAGGGAAGATAAGCTTGATTCTGTCAGGGAAGGAAGCAAATGGGAGTGTGGATACTTCACAGAGATCTTGGCCTCAGAACTGCTGCAGAAAGGTGAGTGGGACTTAGAAAAGTGGGATAGGGTGTTAGAGAGTTGGCTGAACTGTTATGGGAGATAGAACCAGTGTGTAGGGAGGAGCACATGGTTTGGCATGTCTGGTGGGAGATGAGGAAAATAACAGGTGTTGAGGTGGAGGCCAGAATTTGAAGTGTCTTAAATGTCATAAGGGAGAATTTGAGATTTATTTTGTAGACAGGTAAAACTCTGTGGAGCAGTAAATCAGGGTACTGACAGGGTGCAAAGCCGAATTTTAAGAACACTCCAGGAGTCCTGTGTGCCTAGTGCCTGCATGCCAATAGCTGTCCTTAGGAGATCACCTGTCTGGAAGATATGATTCTTATGCTTAAAAATAAGAAAACTATGAAGCCACACTGGGCACTAAGCTGCCAGAGTTCAGCCATCTCAACAGAGGAGTCTCTACACCCTCTGGCACTGTCCTTTGCTAAAACTGAAATGTATGTCACTATGTCTTGAAACAGAAGGGAAAAAACAATGCATTAAACAAACAGGAAAAACACACATACACACAACACAAAGTAAAACCCACCAACAGTCATATGGCAGGTGTACAGCTCGTTCCGACTCCAAAGGCCTCCCCAGCCCCACTTCCTGGAACGTTGCTGAAGTTGGACTAGAACATATAGTGAGAAGTTTCCTCAGGGTATAGAATTCAAAATTCCTTCTGTACTTCATGACCTGTTCCAGGGACCCCTCTTTCCATTGCTCTCTCCCTTGTGTTCACAAGTCAAATATCTATGAAATGCTCATAGTCTTCTCCAGGCGGCCTGTGAAATCCCCAGGGCAGAGGTTGTGCTCTTTTATGGTTCTTTTCATGGTGCACAGCACAGAACCTTGGGTGTCTAGTTCCTCAGGGCAGTCATCCGCAAGATGTGCCCAGCCTGGGAGGATGGAAAGAGCAATGGTTTGAGAATGTGAAGAAAATATTAGAATTTCAATTTATGCTTACTTTGAACCCCAAATATAAAAAAAAATTAAGCTTTGTTATTCTTTCAAGTGTTCATTAACAGGTATATATACTTAGGAAGTATTAAAAAATAAGTATACTGAGTGAATGCTCAAAATTCTTTTATTGGTGGGATTTGATAAGAAAATATTTGGGGACCACTGCTTTACAGTTGTATTAGTGATCATTGCTTAAAAAGCTAAATAGCTCTAAAGAGTTTAGCTTTAAATAGAATTAGTTGCCTGAGAAAAATTTAGGGTTTTTGTTTGTTTGTTTATTCTTACTAACAACATTGCCTTCTGTGTGCAAGGTTGTGTGTGAGGCTCTGTGGGTTGTTTTCTTGGTCAAAGATGATTCCACATGTATTGATATAGGACTCTTGAGAAGTTTTAACCCCACATGATCACATGATACAACAGCAGAATTTGAGCAAGGAGCATATGGTGAAGTGGATACTCTTTTTTTTTTTATGCAATTTTTTTTTCTTTTTTTAATATTTAATTTTTAGTTGTAGTTGGACACAATACCTCTATTTCATTTATTTATTTTTATGTGGTGAGGATCAAACCAGGGCCTCACATGTGCGAAGCAAGCACTCTACCACTGAGCCACAACCCCAGCCCTTAATATGCAAATTTTAAAAATTTGTTCTTCTTAGTTATACATGACAGCAGAATCTCTTTTGATATATTTATACGAGCATGGAATATATCTTATTCTAATTAGGATCCCACCATGGACATACATGATGGTGAGATTCACTGTGGTGTCTCCATTTATGTACATAAGAAAGCTCAGATGCATTCCACTGTCTTTCCTATTCTTATCTCCCCATCCCTTCTCTTTATTCTCCTTTGTTTAATCCACTGAATTTCTATTTCTCCTACCTTCCATCTTATTGTGGGTTAGCATCCAATATATCAGAGAAAACATTTGACCATTGTTTTTTGGGATTGGCTTATTTCACTTAACATAATAGTTCCCAGATCCATCCATTTATCTGTGAATATCATAAAATCATTCTTCTTTATGGCTGAGTAATTAATATTCCATTGTGTATACATACCACAATTTCTTAATCCATTCATCTGTTGATGGGCATCTAGGTAGGTTCCATAGCTTAGTTATTGTGAATTGTACTGCTATAAACATTGATGTGGCTGTGTCACTGTAGTGTGCTGATTTTAACTCCTTTGGATATATACTGAGGAGTAGGATAACTAGGTCAAATGGTGGTTCTTTTCCTAGTTTTTGAGAAATCTCCATACTGCTTTCCAGAGTGATTGTACTAATTTGCAGTCTTAACAACAAGGTATGATTGTACCTTTCCCTCTCATCCTCACCAATATTTACTGTTTCTTGTATTTTTGATAATTGCCATTCTGGCTAGAGTAAGGTGAACTCTCAGTGTAGTTATAATTTGCATGAAATGGATATTCTTTGTGTCTTCTGGGAATGAAATTTGGGTACCACTTTTCTGAAGGACATTTAAACAACATGTCAAAGACCTTTAAAAAGATTTATATCTTTGACCTAGCAAGTCTACTTCTAAACATTTTAAAAGGTTAATTAAAGATTTGTGCAGATAATTAACTACAAGAATGATTATCACATCATTATTAATTTTTAAAAATTAGAAACAACCAAATACCCAATAACATGGGAGTCCTTATATAATGTGTTACATCTATGTATTATAATAAGCCAAACACTAAAACTTGATATGTAGATGTATGTTTAGGTACATTGAAAGATATTTAAAACATGTTAAATTAAAATGGGTTGTATATTATTACATAATATAGAATGATTCTATTTACATTTATCCATATAGAAAAATATTGGGGTACAGTATGCTAAGATTTTTTTTTTTTACTTTTCAGTTTTTAAATTGCTATACTGTACAGTAATTTTAGAAATACATGTATTCCTGCAACCACCACAACACTGAGACAGTTCCATCACCAAAAAACTAAAAAAAAAAGAGGTGATGGAATTGTCTTTCTACTCCTAGTCCAAATCAGTCCTGATAATCTCTCTGTTGCTATTGTTTTGCCCTTTCTAGAATGTCATATAAGAGGGAACATACGATATGTAACTTTTAAAAGCTAACTTCTTTCACGCAGCTTAGTGTCTTTGAGAAAGGTCCAGTAACAGGTCCAATAGATATATCCCATCATATGGCTGCACCGTGGCTGTTCAATCATTCTCTGTAGAAGAAAATCTGAGATGTTTCACTTTGGGGGTACTATAAACAGAACTATTATCAACATTTATGATAGATATGTGGGTCGTATGGAAAGTGTATGTTTCACTATATAAGAATCTACCAAACTATTTTGCAGAATATTTTTCCTTCTTGTTTTCCTACCAACAATACAGGAGAGAGTGCCAGTTGCTCTGTATTCTTGCCAGCATTCGATATTGTCAATATTTTAAAATAATTTTATTTTAACCAATCAAATATGTATGTAGTGGGATCTTATTGTGTTTTTCAATTTCATTTCCTAGAGATTAATGATATTGAACATCTATTGTTATACTTTTTTTGCCATCTGTAGATCCTCTATAATCAAGTGTTCTTTCATGTCTTTGTACATTTGTACATTTTGCGCGCGCACGTGGTGCTGGGGATTGAACCCAGGGCCTTGTGCATGTGAGGCAAGCACTCTACCAACTGAGCTATATCCTCAGCCCATGTCTTTGTACATTTAAAAAAAATCAGATTTTATTTTTCCTAACTGTTAAGTTTTGGGAGTTCCTTATATGTTCTACACATAAGAAAGTTGTCTGATATCTCATTTGCCATTATATTCTCCTGATCTTTAACTTATAGTTTCATTCTCTTAATAGTATCTTTCATAAAGAAAAGAATTTTAATTTTGATGAAATTTGATTGATTATTTTTGTCTTTTATGCATTGTGTCTTTAGTCTTATATCTAAGAAATCTTTGCCTAAACCTAGGTTATAAAAATATATCTTGTTTCTTCACCCAAAGGATCCAGCTAAGTTGCTGAGGCTGGCTTTGAACTCACATCCTGGCTCAGCCTCTCAGGCTGCTGGGATTACAGGTGTGCATCATTGTACCTGGCTCAATGACCTATTTTGAGTTAATTTTTTAATGTGAGGCTTAGGTTGAAGTGATTCATATATTTTCATATAGCTATCCAATGGCCTGACTACATTTCTTTGAAAATAAAGAGTTGCTTTTATATCTCTGTAAAAAAAAAAAAAATCAATTGACCTCGCATATGTGAATCTACTTCTGAGCTGTCTATTCAGTTCCAGTGATTTCAGTGTTTATCTATTTGCCAATACTACACAGTCTTCATACTTTAGAGTATGTCTTGAACCAGGTAGGATGAATCTTTAACCTTTATTCTTCTACAAATTTGTTTTGGCTATTTTAGTTTCTTTGCCTTTCCATAAAAACTTTATAATCAACTTCATATAGTTTGAGGATTTTGATTAGAATCTCATTAATTCTATGTGTCAATTTGTAAAAAATTGCCATCTTAACTAGCCCAAGTTTTCTAATCCATAAATATGGTATGTCTATCCATTTATACTAATTTTAACAAAATTTATTTTTTAAGTTATTTACTCATTTTGAATGTTTTCTATTTTTAGAACATATTGCTGTCTTTAAAAGTTGAAGTAGACAATGGTGTGGGGAAGAATAGAGTTGAAGAATTGAACTAGAGATTAAGATACCCATCCTGGTGATCTAGAGGCAGACCCAGCTGCAAGTGGGGTGAAGAATTCTAGATGATGCATGTGGAGAGTATGGTAATCAATGACAGATGGTCAGGATCAGGAAGGACCAGGGAAAGATAGTGGTTCCAGTGGAAAATCTTTCAATGATGAGATAATGTCACATGTTGATTTGGGCAATAAGCAGGATCCTAACTACTTGGATTAAACATTGTGGTATGAATATGAGTTATTTCTTAAAAGCTCCTGTGTTAATGCAGGAAGTAAAAATGATTAGATTATGAGAGCTGTGCCCTATCAGTGGATTAATCCACTTGATGAAATAATAATTTCCATGGATTACTGGGTGGTAACTATGGGAAGACGGGGCATGGCTAGAGGAATTGGATCACTGCAGGCTACCTTGGGATTTATATTTTATCCCTGGCACCTTGATCTCTTTCTCTCTCTGCTACTTGGTTACCATGAAGTGAGTAGCACTCCTTAGCCATGCCCTTCCACCATGATATTCTGCCTCACCTTGGACCCAGAATGATAGAGTTGACTGACTATGGAATAAACCTCTGAAACTGTTGGCCGAAATAATTTTTTCCTCCTTTACATTGTTCTAGTTAGGTTTTTTGGTCACAGCAATGAAAAGCTAACTAACCTAGAGGGATACAGCCAGTCTCTTTGGTAGTACAGATAGCAAGAGCCTCATAATGGAGGTACACTAAATTCTGGTTTTTTGAAGACTCTAGATCTAAACCTCTGAAATTCTACTTAACTAAGTCCTGTATTGGTCCTAGGAATGGCACAGTAATGAGCCTGAAGGTGGAATTCAAATGGCCTCAGTTGTGAGAAGAGGAGGAATGTTGGGGTAGGAGCCAGGTGAAGCATTGCTCATTTGTTCATTTATTTACCCAACATTTACACATGAAAGGCATTATTCCTATTATTACTATAGTCCCCCAAATGAGCCAGGGAGTATGCTGACACACGCTTGAACACACCCACCCATTCACACACGCATGTGCTCATGTGCACAAGCATGGTTGGTTGCACTGGAGGAATGGTAAGCACTGGCCACATGCCAGCTGGGAAACCCACAGTGACACTGTGCCTTGGGCACTGGGAGCCCCATGGATCGGTTCACATGGTAGCCGCTAACATCAAAGACCAGCAGAATTATTCCAGAACTGGGACAAAGGGTATCTGAAACCTGAGGCCTTATGAAACCAGAATAAAATTGATGCATTTTCTTAGAATTGAAAAAAAAATGTAGGTGGCATTTGGAAAGCAGAACCTAGGAACACAGTGAATTGACCAGAGAGGAGAAATTAGACCTATTAAAAAAAAAAAAGAAAAAAGTAGTTCTGTATTTAGTTAGCGGCATGAGTGGGGTTATATTATTTTCCAACAAATGGGGGCTTAACACCTTTTTTTTTTTTTTTTTAGCCAAAATGATCAAAATGACAGCCAGTCTTTTGAACTTGAATTTGCTTATTATAATTTCTTATCAGAAACCATCACTCTCTGTGTATTGATTTCTAGCCAATGATTAACCAGATGTGACTTTAGAGCCTTGATCATAGCTGGGGAACTCACTCAACAGAGAGAAGCCTGCTAGTTGTTGAACAAAGCAGGTATTTCTGGACCCCTTTGGCATCAGGCAAGTATTTTTCCATCCAGGTGACACAAGAAGTCTCAAACACAGATCTCCAGAGGACCCCTGAACATAAAATTATGCTGACCACCAAGAAGCATGAGATGGTCCAGACCTGAGTGGAAATTAACTCAACATCAAAATTGTGAAATCAGCTACTTGCTTTGAAGGATTGAAATTCAGAATCTACATACCCATATAATAGGATTATAATATGAATAATGGTATTTACTTGTGTTTACAATTTACAAAAAAAATTTTTTTGTTTGTTTTGAGTTAGTAGGCATGGCAATACTGGGGCACACTGCCACTGAACACTACCCTCAGAGCTTTGTTGTTTTTTATTTTGATACGGGATCTCGCTAAATTGTCCAGACTGGCCTGAAACTGGTGATCCTCCTGCCTCAGTCTCCTGAGTCATTGGGATTGTGGTGTTGTTTGGAATTACAAAATGTTTTTTTACATCCATAATCATGACAGTTTTTTCTATATGATTCCGTTTATATGAGATTCAAACATAAATACAAGTAAGCTGTATTGTTCAGAAATGCATACTTGGGTGGTAAACTACAAAACAAGTCAAGGAAATAATCACAATTGTGTCAAGAGAATGGTGATGCCTAGAGGAAAAGAACCAGTGGGCGAGAGGAGGGGAGACTGCGGAGGGAGTGATCCTGGCCAAATTCTATTGTTATATTGTGTGCATGCATAAATATGTAACAACAGATTCCACTGTTATGTACAACTATAATTCACCAATTAAAAAAAAAAACTTGGAAAAAAAGAAAGATGGCAAGAGAGAAAGGAGGTCTCATTGGGAAAGGGCACATGCAGGCCCTCTGGGGTCTGGCTGTGTTCCATTTCTTAGTGTCAGTGGGGCTTACATGGGTTTCATTTGCAATAAGTTGTACAATTATGATAATTTTGTACATGAGTACATTTTTTTTTCACACATACAACAAAGAGCTGAGAAAAGAAAAGGAATTAAGTTACTTTATGTTATTACAACCAGTATTGGTTATTACTTATTACAATTCTAGGGTAGAGATGACTCAGAGCTATGCAATATATAATGTGTGACTTCCTTGATGGTATTTTAGATAATTATGCATTGATTTTTTTCATATCATTTATGTTTAAAGAGATCTATGTACCTATATAATTCCAGTCTGAAAGAACCAAGAGATTTACTCAATGCATCTGACAGTTAATGTCAGAACTTGACTGTAACTTTTCTGACTCCATATCAAAAGCTCTTGAGTGGTGATACCAATATTTCTTTCTCAGCTTTAAAACCTGCATGCATGTCTTTATTTCAAGTGGAACTGAATTGGTTATCTTGCTAATTATGGAACTGTCTGTTAATTTTTAAGCTTGATTAAAAAATGGCTCTGTAATAGTTTTAAAAAAGGCTGGATTTACTTAGTATTGTCATTTAAGCCACTGGGAAAGATGTCCCTGATTTTCTAGCAACAAAAACACCTTGAGAAATTAGAATCTTTTAGATAGAGGATGAAATTCCATTGTAATGTTTTTGTATACCAAATATATTGTGTTCACTGTGAAACATTTTTAAAAATTTCAAAGAGTTACAGAAATAAAATCACCCATTTTCTAACCTTAAAGTATAAGCACTGTAACATTTCGATGTCTTTAATCTGTTTGTATGGGTGTTTACAAAATTGACATTCTGAAAATGCTATTTTGAAACTTACTTTTTAAACTTACCATTAATTCTTCATAACACAATTTATAAGGTACATATAACATGGTATAGAGAATGTATCATTTTTTAAGCCAATTTCCTTTTGTTGACTGTTTTTCTTTTTCCTGTATGCTGCTATTATAAACATCTTTGTAAATTAATCTCTATGTACATCCATTATTTTCTCCTTTGAATAAATTCCTAGAAGCCAAATCATTGGATCTGTGTCAAAGGGTATGTAAACTGGAAAGGCTTGATAATATCTGTCAAATTGTCTTTCAGAGATTTTCTCAATTTATGTGTTTCCCCAGCCATGCTAATATGAGATATTCTAATTTAAATATAAAATATTACAGATTTTTTTAAAATTTTAACCTTTAGTCCTTCAAATAAAAGTCCTTTCATTCTTCAAGTAAAATTGTGTATTATCTCTCCTCCAGGAATCTCCATGATTCAAACATGAGTTGGAGGGTGTAGAAGTCTCACATGTGTGCACATGTTTAAAAATTTTCACTTAAAACATGAAGAAAACCCACTATTCAAAGGGAAGAGAATAGATTTTGTCTGTGTTAACACTACAGTTCTCAATGGAATTACTTATTTTCCTTAACTAATGCCCCATTAGGTGTTCTAAGCACATTCGTGTATTGTTAAAGTACCTAACAATCATTCATAAAGAGATGGAAAGTCAAACAAGCTCAGTGTATCAATTTGCCCAATTCAACAAACTCCTTGGCAATCTACTTACAAGACCCTATGGGGGACAGCCATCATGAAAAGGTTAGACAGCCCATTAGCTTATGAAAAGGGCTGTCGATGCAATCATAATCTATTTGCCTGCATTTCTCTGACATTTTTTTTTTCCTGAGGTTATGGTGATAGAAAGCCATTTCCCACATTCATGCTCAGGCACTTAGCAGCTCAATGGAGAGGTTAAATCTCAATAAAACAAATATTGCTATCATGCAAATCTTTCTGTGACTGAAAGAATAGTAGGACCCCGGTGGACTTAACATTTATTTGAAAAAAACTTTTTTTAAAAATTATAAAATCCTAACAAAACAAAATAATTGGTACAAAGCTTTGGCCTACATACTGTTGAGACTTGACTTATTTGTGGTAGCTTGATTAACAAAGCTACCAGAAAGAAATCTTCTTTGATTAAAACATTAGCCAGGAGGAAAGACGTTTACAAAAAGTATGGACTTTTTCCTTTATTATTCCAGAACTTTGGAGGGTAGAATTGCGAAGGTCAGTGGGTAGAAATAGCAAAAAGTCTGATTTTAGATAGTCTAAAGGAACACATTTCTAATAATCATAGTTGTGGTAGAAAGAACTGCTTTTCTAATAAGAGTTCAAGCTATCCCTGGAGACCCTGTTAGGAATTCTGAGGAGACATTTCCTTTATCTTGGGGTCCAGAGTCTGTGATTTCATGGGAGATCACATGGACAGAGTTGTGGTAGGATGTGCCACCAATGGAGTGAAGCAATCAAGAGCCAGAGAAAATCCCAAGTTATTGTTTTCCAAATGAGTTAGTTGCTTCTGGATATTAAAATTGCCAAATATGGATCACAGGAGTGAGGGACCCTCATCAGTTGAGTTAGGATAAAATGTCAGGTTAGATTGTTCTCCCTAAGTCTCATAGATATCTATTTCTTTCTTCTAAAAAGTTCATTGGGAGCCAGATAGTTCCCTCAGGTCAGCTTCCTTTCAATCAGTGACGTAAGGATCCAGTGTACTTTAATTTGCACCACACTGTTATTAACATGTCTTCTAGGGTCTCCATAACTGGAGAAGACAGAATTTGGAAAATTCACATCCACTTTTCTATGCTTCCACTTATGCCACTTCAATCTATGCCTATTGGCTAGAATTAGTCATATGCTCCACTATGATTGCAAAGGACAGTGGGAAATGTAGTCTTCCTGTGTATCCACAAACCCAGAGGATTATTTTTGTCCAAGGGCTCATAAGTTTTCTATCCTATCACAGAATAAATTGCACCATCAGTTGCAAAAAGTTTGTTTTGTCTGGAAAGAAAGGGTATATGTCTCCTTGTTCCTCTATACTCCGTCTCTTGATGCTACATTTTTTGGGGGAGACAGGTTTAAGAAAGGTGATTTCAGGGCTATGGATGTGGCTCAGTGGTAAAGCACTGGCCAAGCATGAGTGAGGCCCTGAGTTCAATCTCCTGCACTGCAAGAAAAAAAAAAAAAGTGATTTCTAAGCCTCAAGTCTAGTTATAACATTTTTCTGACTTTCAGCTCTAGATTCTTTAGTCCAGGCCCCCTTAACATTGGTCAACTAGGGATGTTGCTACTAAGTACCATAAATGTGTCATCTCATAGTTCTGGAGGCCAGAACCATGAAATTGAAGTGTTAGCAGGGTTGGGTCCTTCAAAGAGCTCTGAAGGGGATAATCGGTTCCAGGCTTTTGTCCCTAGCTTGTAGTGGTTTGATGACAATCTTTGATGTCCCTCAGCTTGAAAGATCTCTCTGATCTCTGCCTTTATGTTCACGTGAAGTATTTTCTGTATGTTTCTCTCTCAGTGTTCAAATCTTTCCTTTTTATAAAGATACCATATATCAGATGAGAGGCCACTCTAATTAACTTGATTACTCAGTATTGATCCTATCCCCAAATAAGGCCGCATTCTGAGGCACTAAGGGTTAAATTTTAGTATCTTTTTTAGGAGAACACAATTCAACCTACAACAACCAGCAGCTCAGGCTGGGCTTAACTCCCAAATGCTCCCACATTATTTGCTAACCAGTGACATTCTGCTTTGACTGTGGATCAGGGCCATGTCTAGTCAGTGAGAAGGAGGCAGAGGTGATGAGGCAGGCAGTCAATAGACCCTAAGAGACAAGTCCAGCTCCTGTTCTTACTCCAAAGGCCAGGGAACAAGTGAGTAGTTGTTTGCATGGTGAGTTGCCATGGGGAAAAGTCCCACATCCCCTTTGCCTGCCACAGTGGATTTCCTCATGACAGTTGCTTATGGGGATCTGTTTTCTCTGGTGACAGGAATGTAGTTAGACACGTTGGTGGGTGTATGGGACACCAAGGGGATGTCTTGGTCAGAGAGGCAAGAGACCTGGGTTTAGATCTGCATTTCCTTTTTGAGCTTCTCAGGGGGTTGGACTGGTGAATTTTGAAATTCTATTCTGGTTTGAGCCTCTGTTAGATAGTTAATCTATATGATTTTTTTGGGTTCTTAATCTGTTACAGAATTATGTTGGTGTAGGGAAACAAGGGCACAGATTATGGCCCTGTATGAACTGAGGCTCTGACCCCAGAAAACAGCTTGACTTCAGTCTCTATATATCCTCTATCTATCTATCTATCTATCTATCTATCTATCTATCTACCTACCTACCTACCTATCATCTATCTCATTCTCTTATACACACACACACACACACACACACACACACACATAGCTTTGCTGTTTCATGGGGGAGGGAGATATTTTTAATAGCAGGTTTTCTACTCTCTCTTTTTTCCTGGAAAAAGATGAAATCATCCATTTATTTTGGACCAATTATAAGCACTAGAAAGCACAGGAGGAACAGAAAGCTTGATCACAAATAAATATACACTTGGGGAGAAGGGGAAGGAGGAAACTGTTATTGATTGGCCTTGTAAAATCTGCTGCTGAATCGATAGCAATTTCTGGAAATGCCAGACATTTATTTTGTGTGGCTTGAACAGCGGAGATAATAATAAATGTACTTATGAAGTGGGTCTCCCGACACAATTTCTCTGAGCCCCTTCTAACAGCACACATGCACACCAGGTATGATAGCTGTGAAAACCATAGTGAATATACTTCAGATTTAAACCCCAAACTGAGCTGACTACTTGCCAACCTCTCCTCTATGCTGCCTGTGGCATTTGAATACATCTGTCTATTAGAGAAGCAGACAGTTCATCTGCATGAAGAGGTGGGAGACATGTTCTTCTTAGTTGTGGAAGGACAGGCCTAGGCTTGCTCTGAGGCTCAGGAAAGAATATCAGACACTGAAACTACCAAACGCTGCCTGGCCACTCTGAGTTTGTAGCACTCCTCTCACAACTGCGCCTCTCAGAGTTCTATTTACTTCATCCTTATCCTAACCACCACCCTTCATCTTTAGGTAGTCCCCTCTCCTCTTGGCATAATCTGTTCCTTTTGCAAGGTCACATTGCAACCTTGTCAGGGCTACTGAGCCTGAGAAAAGACTTGGTGGTGCTTTGGGAATAGAGAAAATTGTTCAGTGTGATTCAGCATAGTAAAAATAGCTACCATTTATGGAGCACCTATTATGTGCTACATGATTTACTTACTTCATCATTTATTCCTCACATCAACCCTTTGAGTTATTATTTTTCAACCTTCTTTTTTTTTTTTAAAAAAAAAGGAAACTGAGGCTATATCAAAGTTGAGTAAGGTACCTGAAATCATGCAGCTATTATGAGAGTGAGCTAGATTTGACCTCGTCTGATTTATATTCTGCATTCTTTCTACTCTGCTTTTGCCTGCTTGGGTGTAACTGGATTGGTGTAAGGTAAAGTTATAGCACACAGAGACTCTTGAACACCTGGTGTAGAGATGTGGACACTACAGTTGTAAGACTGAAATGAGTGAAGTTTATTTGAAAGTGAAGATGGTATAATCATAATCGAGTTTTAGGGGAAATCACTTTGGTGTGTGTGTTTAAGGTGAGTTGATTCAGGGAAGCAAGCAGGCTGGAAAACCATATAAAAGAATACAGAAGCAGTTATGGTGGGAAGAAAAGAAAATCAGCTAAGGAGAGGACATTGGAATCACCAGGAAGTGGCTCTTGACGGTCACAATGGAAAGCCTGCCCCTTCCTCCTCACTATTTCTTGTCTTCACCTCTGCTCCCTTTGCTGGCCACTTTACTTTTTCCTGTTCTGTGATGGTGGAAAGAGTCCCTGGAGAGTAGCCATTCACTGCCTGGGCCTGTCTATGCAAAGACAACCTTAATGATGTTGTTAGATACTGATGTCTGCTGAGCTGGGAATAGATAGAGATCACTTTTGCATGCTGCTTCCTTAATATATCTCCATTTAGGAGACTCTGAACTACTAATTTAGATGGTGAGAAAAGGTGTTATTTCTGTAAATCAGTGGCATTTTGTTTCTCTGGCTGTGTCCCATCTCTGCATAATTAATCCATAGTTTTCTGAGACAATCTTCATGACTTTGAAAGCCAAAGAAAGACTTTCCCTTGAGATCTGGCTTAGTGCTGAGAGTAGTGTTTCCCTTCAACTACTCAAGGATCCAGATCTCTTTAGATGCTAAGTCAAATTCCACTCGCAGAATTTGACTTCAAATGGAAAGTCCTGAAAAATGGCTCCTGAAATACCTAAAGATGGGAAGTCAAAGAGACTTTTTGGATGG